GGCTAGGTATCTTAAGTGGGCACACCTGTACTTTGCGATCGAGCCCATCGAGGTTCGTGTTTTTGAGGCAGAAGAAGACATTGGAGGGACTTTCAAATATCGGGTCTACGAGGATGCTGAGGTGAGTTTTCGCAGTCGGGCATTGTGACATTGCATAGATAGGTGAAGCTTACCACATGGCCATAGCTCGTATCGTCCAAATATCTCACTGCCTTCTCTGATCACCGTCTACCCCGAGACGCCCCTGATTACGTCACACCTCAGGTTTATGTCCAGTATCTCAATGAGTATTGTGACCGCTTCGAGCTTCGGCCTCACATTGAATGTTCATCCAAAGTCACTCGCGTTCGTCGAGGTGAAGAAGGAGGCCATGTCGTCACCGTTACTCGTTCCGATGGCTCTACCTTGGACTACGCATGCGATGCCGTCGCCGTTTGCTCCGGGCTAAATGTCGAACCAAGGATTCCACCTATCAAGGGCCTCGACAAGGTTCCCAAGGTGCTTCATTCATCGGAATTCAAGTCCCGAGACCAGCTGCGGGACATCAAGAGTGCAAACCCGACAGTTGTGATCGTCGGCACCGGAGAGACCGCACAAGATCTCGGTCAGCTTGCCGCTACGACGGAGAGCGTGAAACACGTTGTCATGTGTCACAGGGACGGCTTTGTAGTAGCACCAAAGGTACGCTTGTTTCATACTAGTGATATCACTGATCAAACACTAACTAATATAGACTGCACCGGCTCCTGTAATGTTTGGGTTTTGGGGTAAGGGAGGGAACTTCAAGGAAAAGCCTGTTGACTGCTCAATTGCAAGCTTGTTCGACACTGCATATGTGCCTCCGAAGCTGCAGACGAGCCAGTTGCTTTGGGATTTCTACAACCAACAGATCGACGTCACTTTCTCGCTAATCGGCGGGGCGGCTATTGGTTGGGACCAACTTATCGGGGGGATGCCCCGGGAGCGGATGCACATCGATCATTGTACGCATCTCCGGATAAATACATGCAGAAACAAACTGACCAATGGACATAGTCTTCCCTGCGAAATCTACCCGAGCAGTCCCTTATATCTCCGCACCCTGGCGCCGCCCGCTTTCGATCATGGAGCGCATCCGTCGATTCTTCTTCTACATCAAGGAGTTCGACATGGACACCAAGGGACGGTACATTGATGTCGCACCGTGGCCCGAATATGTCGACGACAACGGGGTCATGCACTTCCGGGACACTGGGAGGCCAGAATCCGAGAAGATGAAGAAGATGATCGTGAAACCGGATGTGGTTCTGTTTGCAACAGGATATACCCGCCGCTTCCCATTTCTGGATGAGAGTTATGGTACACCAGACACGGCAGATGTCCGGGCCATTTACCACTCTAATGACGTTTCTGTGGGCTTCATTGGCTTTGTGAGGCCGAATTTGGGTGACTTTCCTTCATTTAATTCCTCCTTTGCTGATAACTAACACCTCATCAAGGCGCGATTCCACCACTGGCTGAGATGCAAACCCAATTCTGGGTCCTTCGGCTCCTTCAATCCCAGTATCCCAACGTTCCAGGCCTCACATATTCGCCACAATCCGATCCTCTTGATCCGAACGCGCTGCCTGGGTATGACATAGACTGGAAGCTACATCCTCGCTGCGGCCGTGACCCCTGGGCCGAGAAGCGCGGCGTTGACCATGAGAGTTACGTGTACCAGCTGGCTCTCGACATCGGCTCTGCCCCCCGCTTCAGTTATGTCCTTTCCAAAGGCTTCAGGGTCGCATACACATGGGCCATGGGTAGCAACTTCAACGCCAAGTTCCGTTTAGTTGGCCCATGGAAGAACGAGGAAGAGTCGTTGCGCATCATGAGAGGCGAGCTGTTTGATATTGTCAAGCAGTCTGGTGGTCTGATTTACATGTTTTCGAATTCTGTGATACCCTTCTTTATTTTTGGGACGATGAGCATGGCCATCCACACGTGGGATTGGGCCAAGAGCGTGTTTTCGTGGGGGCGGCGGAATGACCGCATTCGCCTTGCCGAGTAATGATTGCGACTTCTGCGACCATTTGCTAGAGTATAGATATTAGATAGAAAGAGCGTGTCGATTCTGATTATTTCTTTCTTCTTTGCTTCATAGCCCTTGGATTCTTTATATATCCACATCATTCAAGAGGCGCTTGAACAGCTATAACTTGTCTATGTTTTCTCAAGTGAAGCTATCTCGAAACCCCTTACGTATGTCAATTACCATTAAAATTTCACTCAGTATGGTGAGATATTAGTCATACAAGAGAGTCTCTCAGTCCGTTGAGATTGTATACATGAGTAAGGAACAAAAGAAATTCATGTATCAACGTGCAAGCAACCATCCATCATATGCTGTTGAAGGATATCGTGTGTCAGCCTGCTTCTCGGCGAGCGTAGAGCTTGACGGTAAGTTGGCTAGCTTCTGGATAATATTCCCATCGAGATCGGGATCAGGTCCTCTGTAGTTGTATACAGATGCGTTGAACTCGGGAACAGACCTTGGTCTACAGGCGAAGAACAACTGGTATAGCTGCGTGTTCTGCCACTGGCCGAAGACCGTCGATAGCGTCATGCCAAGATACCGTCCCAAGGGCACAAACTTCAGTATGTCGTGGTAAACATCTCCATCTCCGGTGTTCTGGCCTCTTAAAATGCTGTTCTTCAGTCTGTCTAGCTCATGGTAGATGTGACCCTTTGGGATGACAAAGCCAGAGGAGTCGTGTGCATCAAGGCACTCCAACATCCATTTGAGAACCAGATCAGAGAGGACCTCGTTTGGCTTGATGGCTTTGCTCGTCCAGGCCCAAGCCGGAAGTACGCTCTCGAGAGTTTGTGGGAGGATACCCCTAGAAATCTTGAAGTGCTGCCTGCCAATGTCGTGATGCGTACCGGGAAACCAGCGCTCCGTGATGCCGTACGACGGCCCATACTCTGTGTCACGCGAGATGAGGCATGGCTGAAAGGCGTATAAGCGCTCATGTAGCGACACAGCATGGTAAACCTCGGAGACGACACTCGAGACGTGCTGGTCGTAAAACTTTGGCCAGTCGATGCTGAGAGAACCGGCAAACTCTGGAATCCCACCCTTGCCTACTGTGTCAAAGATTCCCATGAAGCGGACAGGCGGATCAACGACATCGCCGTCGCCAATGAGTGCCCAACTATGCTTTCGCCTGAAATCCCTGGATGTTTCGCTCTTTGGCGCGTTGGGCTCGGAAGGACACCGATAGATGCGGTAGACTTCTTGGCAGAGCTGGTGGGTTCTTTCCTCGTCAACGTCCCCATTCGACCGATATACCGGTTTGACAATGCCGCAGTTGTTGATCATTCCGGCTACCGAGCGAACTAGGTAAGCACCTTTGGAGAGGCCAAACATCCAGATTTCTTTTTCCTGCGGCGTGTACCCGTGAACGAGGTATTCGTATGCGTCTACGCACTGGTTCTCTATGCCCTGTACGTCAAGGTCGTTGACAATATGGCTAAGAATGAAGTCAGTGCATTGTAAGATCACCTTCTGGACCAACGAATTTACTCTACAAAGGTACTGCCGACTGGGACGCTATTGACATAATAGGCTTTGCCTGAAGGGTGGAGATGCGCAAACTCATCGTCTGTAGGAAGTCCTGCCCCGCCCCAAATCATGTTGGCCAACTGATAGACATTGAAGCCTGTCCCGCGCTCCCGTCCGGTCCATGAGCCGTCGGAAAGCAGGATGAGTGGGTTCTTCTGGGGGCCCCGGTAGGGCATGGCGACGATGTCGAATGGCGGTATCGTCAACTTGCGCAGAGCAGATGAATGGAGTCGACCCGCACAAGGTTTTGTTCTTCTTAAGTGACCATCTCGAATTGTGTATCTTCCGTTTTAAAAACATACTCGGTGGAATGCGCGCCTAGCTCAGGTCTTGAGCGATCAAGTTCTAGGCAGCCTGGGTGTGTTTTGAATTCCACAGATGAAATACTTTTGACTCACCGAGCGAAGACATGTGTTGAACCTAACATGGTGGGAATGACAAACATCGCAAACAAACATACAAAATGCCTGCACCAAGATTCAGACTCAAGGTAAGTACTGGTCTTGAATATTCAAGTCCATAGTGTCTTGCCAACGATCGTAGTGATACTTTCAAGGAAATATAAATGCCAAGCGTGTTGGATTACCTTGTCTTATTCATGGCTACATACATTTTCTGATATCATCGCAGAGCCTTCTCGTCCAGGAAAGGCCTAGCTTGTCGTCATTTCGTCCCAAGCACTCGGTACTCCAGTGTGATCCAAGCTTTGGGGGCACTAGCAAGGCCCAGGTGAACGACACCTCCGAGGGTCTTCCAGGCCAAAATGAGCATGTCTCAGTTTACGTGCTTTGGCATGTGGACCCCTCCTGGCGCAATTTAAAGATGCCACTTTGCACAAATAGTGAATTTTGGAAAGCGATGATAGGGTGCTTGGAGCCTGGGTAAGCCAGAGACTTAGTATTAGTTCCCATCTACCTGACTCGCTCGTCAGCCGGTCCACAGCGCCCCAAAGCCAACAATTCTAGACTCTTGCTCAATGTCTCTCATAACAAATGTGCCTGAAGGATTAAGATAGGTTCCAGTTCCAGTGCAATACATAGCCGTGTTGAGTTTTGACTGACACTCAGGGACCAAAAAAACAGCATACCTTTTCCTGCCACCACCAAAGCACTTCAAATATTATTAGCAAGAACCCGGTGGCTATACTATCAAATAGGTAAAAAGGTCCCTTTTCTCGTATCTCATATCTTACACTATGTAAATTTCATAAGCGCGTTGTGAATCTACTATTTCTAGCATATTCAAAGCTTGGAAACTTAGTATGATAGATGGGAATTGTGTTATCCTATTTTTTGTTCTCTGAGTGACTGTCTACTGAGGGTTGGTCAAAGGTGGGTCAGACACAGAAGCAGAATCCACATTGCTGTAAAACTCTCATATAGAACAACATAAGCAAAATCATCAACCAATCATCGGGCGCTTGGTCTAGGGGTATGATTTTCGCTTCGCATCATCCACTGAGCTCCTTCGAGAGCTTCAGAAATACTGGATCATGAGTGTGTGAAAGGTCGGGGGTTCAATTCCCCCAGCGTCCAATTGCTTTTTGTATGATCGTGAGCTGTAGCCCTCATTCCTTCATTTTACCGGGTTAAATGGTTGATCTATGGTTGAGACATGGACATGGGTGGAATGTGACGGCTTCGGTTAGGCTTGTCATTTTTTTTTTCTGTAAACATAGTACTAAATTGCCGTCTTATCCGTTTGATGTGAGTGTTTTCGAGAGGCAGGGTGTATGCTCTCTCTCCCACTGTTTTGTGGTTATAATCCACATAATGGTATGCTGACATATTTATTGCTGCAATTGATTTCTTACAAGTGATCCTGATTCCAGCGATAAAACTTAGAAAAGTGGCACAATTAGAGGTAACACAAACAGTTGAGAAATGGTACGGGCTAAGCTAAACGATCAATTTATTGATCTCACCATACAGGGTGGAGGTTGCCTCTTTTCTGTCACTTTAGTGCAGCAAAAGGAAAAAATTCGTCCGGCTTTCGTGCTCATCGAGAAATGACTAGTATTCATTTGCTACCTAATGCAGTCACAAATAAATAGCAAAGTCGTGGATTGAAAGCTTCACCAATCACATCACCGATCGATTGTCTAGTAGTAAATAGACTCTCTACAAGGTAGTCCCCCGTAGGGTCGCACAGGTACATAATGATCTGCACAATACTACGTCCAAGCTTTTCCGAGAAATACCATAAAAATATCCAGGTATGTGCTCTTTTGACAGAGACCATACTCTGTAGAGGTCATGAGTCCATCTTTGGATAGAGGTACTATAAACCTGGCTCTGGCTGGCTGGCTATCCTTGCATTCTTCTACCATCTCATCATCTTATGTAGCAGTCGCAGCTCTACCAGTACAGCAAGATTAATTAACAAGGGGGGCTCGGCACTTGTACTCCGAACAGGCTTTCGGGGAAGCCGGCTGCATCGCCACACCTCCCAATAGAAATGATCGGTGTCAGGAAGATGAGAGGATGACCAACACCCAGGGGTAGTCACGCCTAAGTCCTAGAAGAGAGTTTAGCATCCAAAAGAATTAAACGTTATATCTGTCGGGAGCGCCCTTCATTCGTACGGGGTTCAGCTCATTTTCTCCATCCCTGCAAACTTGCCTGCGGTCAGCAAACAAAATGCATCGCTTTGGCCTCGCCGTCGGCCTAAGTTGTCTGTGGACAACTGCGTATGCTGCTTTTGGGTTCGCCGAGACGAAATCGTCGTACATAGTCGATACCGATGGCGGTCTCATGTTTGAAGTGAATCGGTAAGTGAGTTCCCGAATTGCCCCACAAAAATGGCAGAAATACTGAGGACGGACACAGATCGAATGGAGACATCATCAGCCTTCTTTACAATGGTTTCCAATACCAGGAACCGACACGGATGTCGTCGATCAACTCCGGCTTAGGGGCTTCCAACGTCACGGCCGAAACCGTGAACGGGATCATCAAAATCACTGTGAAGGCCGGATCACAACCTCTCACGCAATACTACGTGGCAAAACCAGGCGACCCTACCATCTATATGGCGACTCACATCACGGGCGAGATCTCTCCCGGCGAACTTCGATGGCTTGCACGGCTTCAGCGCTCGCGTGTACCGGTTGGAGTGCACGGAAATGTTGGCGACGTAAATGGGTGCGTAGCAATCGAGGGTAAAGATACGTTCAGGTGTTCGGACGGCACGACGAGGTGCAAGATGTACACGTCTGATCGGTTCATCGACGATCAGGTTCATGGCGTAACGGGTAACGTGAGTAGCGGTCATGGTTTCTCAGGCCGAGGCTTGGCTAACACCTGAGTCTGTAGGGCGTCGGCATTTGGATGATCATGCCCGGTAACGCATACGAACACTCCGCTGGAGGTCCCTTCATGAGAGATATCAACTCTCAAACCGTGGACGAACAGGAGCTATACTGGTATATGAACAGCGGACATGTCAGAACGGAGCCGTGGCGGTTCGGTCTCTTAGGCCCGTACGCTATGCAATTCACGTAAGGGCTCCCTCTTCCCGGAATATCTCACAGGTGTGCTGATAGGTAGAAAAGAACTGGTCAAAAGCCATCAAGCGACCTTGACACGACCTTCTTCGACTCCTTGGACATAGAGGGATATGTACCGAACAGCGGACGAGGGAGTGTTTGTGGAGCTGCGAGTGGCGTTCCGCACAATTTCGAGACAGTTATCCATTGGTTCAACGAGGATGCCCAGTACTGGACCAAGGCGTCCGCTGGGAAGTACGTGTCTCCGCTCATGAAGCCAGGGACGTACACGATGAAGATGTATCGCAATGAGTTCCCCATTGCCAACGAGACCGTCACCATTACTGCCGGCTGCAATATCACTCAGGACATCCACTCAACAGAACCAAAACCGTCGGTTCTCTGGCGAATTGGCGAGTTTGATGGACAACCATTCGAGCTCAAAAATGGTGACAAGTTTACTCGGATGCACCCATCGGATGTTCGTATGGCGCCTTGGGGAGGGGCCTTCACGGTGGGCCAGTCACAAGCGAGTGATTTCCCGATGGCGTTATTCTCCAAGATGGGGGGCACTGCGAACGTCAGCTTTAATCTCGCGGTCAACCAGTTGCAAGGGGTGACTCTGCGCGTGGGCACTACGCTGTCCTTCAAAGGTGGACGCCCCATGGTGCAAATCAACAACTGGCAGGCGCCAGACCTCGGTCCTCCGGTAAGTGTAACGATCCCAGAGCTACTACTGATGCAAGCAATCACTGACCAGCTTCTACAGACTCTGATTGACTCTCGCGGGGTAACTCGAGGCGCCTACCGCGGGTTCGGCAACGTGTACGAATGGAAAGTACCGCCGGCTGAGTTGAAGAATGGCACCAACGTGCTCACCCTAGGGGTTTTCGGTAGCGGTGACCAGGGCTTCTTGAGCGCGAATTATATCATTGACGCTGTCGAGCTGCAGGGACAAGCGGGAAACGGTAGCTTGTGGAGCAGCGCGTAATTGGGCAGTCTTGGAGACCTGCCTCATCTTGTAATTATTCTGTAAAAATGCGCTTCGCAGCGACTAAGGCTCGATAGCAAATCGGATCCTTATGATGATAATCAATAATTTTGACAATTTCATCATGTTCGCACTGGTTCTGCAAGTCGGAGCTTTACGATAACTTTTCACGTCTGGTTTATCAGCCACAGAGTGTTCAGCTGTTTTGAGGAGATGGTTTAGCCGAACCCTGTTTGATCTACTTGGACTATCCGTCGTACCTGCAAGTTGCACAGAGCATCTACTAACTCTAAGCCAACGGTAGTAAGCAAAAAGGGAGATCTGAACGAGTGGAAGATTGACATCATCGGAGCGGGAGCCCGGGGTGGACAGGAACGGAGCCGGGGCGCGTCCGCCAAAGTGGGTAAACTGCGGGAACTCATGGGGCCGCAGATGGGTCTGGGCACGGCTTAGTCATCCAAGCTCGATTACGATTTTTGGACAGCTTCGCGACTCCTTTTCACCATCTGGCTTCCAAACCAAGGGACACAGCATCGCAACCATCGTCAGCTTTCCAGTCACTCCTTTCACGTCACGATCGCTCCCAGACCACAGACCAACGCTCAGTTATCTCCCAATCAATCTCGGCCATCCGATCCAACAGCAATCATGACCCGCGCCCAGCAGACCATCTCCCTCGCGCTCCTTGTGAGCTCGGTACGACCCCTCCTCCCTCTCTCGCCAGCGATATTCTACCGATCGCACCGACCCGCGAATCTATGCTGACCAGCGCCCACAGCTCTATCTCGCACTTTATCTCCAGCTCATCCCGATTCCCGCCGTAATCCAGACTGAAATAGTCCCCGTCGTACGTCCTTCCCCTACCTCCAACAGCCTTCGCCAACCCTTGCAGCCTACCGTTACTGACCCTTGTGTTCGTTTGCAGCTGCCCTTCTGGGTTCTCATTTCTTTCGGATCCTACCTCCTCGCCCGTCTTGGATACAACGTCATGACCTTCAACGATGTGCCCGAGGCCCACAAGGAGTTGATGGCCGAGATTGACGAGGCCGTCGTCGACCTGCGGAAGCTTGGTGTCGACGTCGACTACGACTAAAAAGAGAGCGAACGCGGATTGCAAACCGGTACAATGATTAAAAGGGCCAGGATTTGGAGGAGTTAGGGGGAAATTCCGGGCAGAATATTTGGCTTAGTGGGCTTGACGCCTGGCATCCTTCCAGGCCGAGACTTGGAGGCTTTCGGTACCTTTTTTGTGTTGACATAGATGCATCGGGGACACCCTGCCGTCTATATACATGGTCAAAATCGAGCCCTGGGCATTACCGCTTCAACTTGTTACATCGGGGATCACGGAATTATGGCTCCGGATTGTCGCGTCCTCGGCAAAGGACTGCTCACAATTTGTTGCGCATGTCGGTGCCGATGCACCTCTATCACGTTCTGTTCCGAACCCCTTCTGCCGTGAAAAGACCCTCAACTTCGATCCAGTCCATCTGGAATTCACAGTCATATGAAATTGCTCTTTGAGAGTGCTGTGACGGGATTGCGATGGTTTAGGAAACATCAGCAATGAAGTCTTGGCGTCTTTCCAAGTCGACTTGAGCACATAGACCTCGGTGTAGTGGCGACGGCACCTGTCCCTCGCCTTGCTGACGCATCTTGCGCGCGTTGTGTGCCTCGTCATACCTCGCTTGATCATGCGGGTCGTCAGGCCATCCGTCAAGCCCATCGGGCAGCCGAAGACGTCAATGATTAGCTCCGCGCGCCAGCCCTAGGTCATGCAGAACAAAGCCTCGTCTATGCTGGCGTACCAACTTTCGACGTCCTCTTCACCCGAATTGGCTCTGCTTAAAAAACTAGCTATCGTGCTATCCTTGAAGGCTCTACAGAAAAGTTCGAGTAAAGATCGGATAGATGAGCTACAGAGGTTCGCGAATTCGGTGTCCGCTTTAACAGCTGTCAAATGTGCTTTAAGTACGGGCTATCTAGTCCTAGCATTTACCAAGCACATGACTAAATAGGAGCACTTAAGTTCTCATGAGAAACAGGACTGGACATTC